CTTTATCTGGTAATTTCAACCTCTGGGTCATTTGTGAGTCTGTTGCTAGTGACTTTTTCTGTTGACTCTGGTTTGCATTTTTCTAGTAATTATTATTGTATTCTGGACATCCTGGAGACTCCAGATTCTGTTATATTTTTCTGAGGAATATTGAGTTTTGTTCTATAATCAATTAAATTACTGACAAATCACTTTGAACTTATGGGGCCTTTGCTGTATGCTTTTTTAGGGTAGGTCTGTTTTGGTTGTGCCTTTATCCCTAAAGTGAATGACTTAATCCTAGGATACAGTATTTGCTCCAAAGGCAGGGACCTTCTACAATTTCAGTGGAAAGCCTGAGGTATTGTTTGAGTCCTTCTGATTTAGTGGGATTCAAACTCTGTCTCCCTGTGATTAGTAATAGCTGAAATACCTGCTCAGCCTCTTTCAGGCCTTAAATTGTTTCACCCCTGGAGTCTCACTCTTTGGAGTCTCATGCTCAGTTCACAGGTCAGCCAAAAATTTGAGGGGAGTTAATATGTCCACCCCTCCTTTCCAGAATATCTATCCTCCTTCAATTTTTAGCTGTTCTAAAAGTCCCACAGTCTGTTCTCTGTCTTCTCAGGCCAATAGGACTGAAGATGTTGCAGGGTTTCCATCCAGCCTCCAATGAAGGGCGTAAGAGTCTAAGGCCCTCAGGAAAAAAAGCCATTCAAACATGAATCATGTCTAGGGTGGTTCTCTTTTTTCAAGAGTTAGTTTTCCTCCAGCCTCTCCTTTCTTTTGGTTTCTCCCCAGTGCCTTCAAATATTTTTCCCCCCTTTTGTGGACAGTTTATAATTGTTTTTTGTAGGAGGCTTGTCTGATTCAAGCTATTCTGCCACTACTAGAACTGGTATTCTTCCCCAAATGGACATATAAGTGGAATGAGAAATAAATCTTTGTTTCCTTTACCACCGACATTTTTTTTTTTATCCACAGTATTATTCCGGCGGCTATATGTTCTGACTAATATATAACTATTAACTTGCAAAGAGGTCGTCTCTGAGAACTTCCAAGTAGATTGTTAGTAGTGTTCCCTACTTCCATTCTACCTATCTAGGACATGACCTTCAGATGAATGTTTCTAAAATACAGCTCTGGACTTCACATCCTGTAAGCAAGAGTGTCATCACCAGCTTGTCATTCAGAGCCTCCACTGTCTGGTCCCCAGCATTCTGGTTGTCTGCCCTATTAACATAGTTATTAACATTATAGGAGATAATTACTTACCCTCAAAAGCCTGAGGTATGACTTATTCTGAATTAGCTATTTTTACACTAGGAGAGCACAGTATTTAAAAAAGGACATGGGGCTTACCTGGTGGCACAGTGGTTGAGAGTCCGCCTGCCAACGCAGGGGACACGGGTTCGTGCCCCGGTCCGGGAAGATCCCGCATGCCACGGAGCAGCTGGGCCCGTGAGCCATGGCCGTTGAGCCTGCACGTCCAGAGCCTGTGCTCCACAATGGGAGAGGCCACAGCAGTGAGAGGCCCGCGTAGCACAAAAAAATAAAAAATAAAAAAAAATAAAAAAGGACATGATCAAAAGTTTTTAAAGTCTTCTAAATGCATTGTCTTGTTTTCATTGCAGTTTCTTGGTGGTTGTTTGTTTTTCAGTATAGATTAAGGGATGGGACACACATTACCTGTTTGTGTAGGTGCAGTTCAAGTCTTTCATGTTTACACAATTAAAAATGTAAGTGACAGATAATTGTCTGAAAACTAGTAACACATGCCCACAGCTGTCCCTTAAACTCTCCATCCTGCTTGTGGAAGATGAATCAGTGGCTGCAACCACGCTGGCTGATAGAAACCAGGTATACTATTTCATATATTGTACCTAGAAGGACATTTTTTGCAGCTGTTATAGTAACTTGAATTTTTAAAAGGTGCTTACTAAAGAGAAATCCTCATAAAACAATCCCAGCTTTTAGAAGTCTGTTTTTGAACACCCAGAAAAGAAAGTTTTCTAGTGTGTGCATTAGACAGTGACCATTTCTTATGCATTCTTGTAGGCCTACAACTAAGAGCCTGTCACATTTTATGGTAGATTACCAGAAATGGAAAGAACCATAGACTACCCCAACCCCTGATGCAAATGTTTTGTGGCCTTGCACACATAGTAGTTTCCCAATAAATAATTGTTGAATTGAAACCAGTTAAAGTTACATTTAGTTATTTCTTTAGACATTAAATTTTATTCAATTCAGTGTGAATTATAGATGAAATCTTTGGTTTTGTATTTAATTTCACACCATGGTAGAAGACACATAATGCTGGTTGCCAATGCAAATACTGGGTGATAGAGTATGCCTCATTCAAAGAATGTTCCTTTGCTTGTTGTTTGCAAAGAGCAGTTTCAGCATCCTGTTGGACCACCAGTAAATTATATTACAAATTGATGCTTACACAAGCCTCTGGCCTTAAGACCCAGCAACATTGTCAGACTTACTGAATTCTGCTTCCAGTTCCACCCTTTGGGGAAGTTACTTTACCAGTTCTAACGTGAGTTTCTTCTTGTGAAGAATAGGAATAATAATCGCCTTACCTGTGTCATAGGGTTGTTGTAAGGCTTAAATAAAATAGTGCTGTAATAGGGCCTTTAAGTTTTATTTTTAAAGTGGTAACTTCTTAAGATATTGTGCAGCAACATGAAATGTTATATTAATCGGTTATAGTCTTTACCGTGGGTATCGATTGCCTTTGTGTAATTACCTACACCTACTTATATTCACTAAGAGCCTTCCATTTTTTAAGAAGTCATTAGATTATTATAATGGTGGAGTTTCATTTCTTCACTTTGATAGATTTCCCTATTCTATTACTGTTGTTTTATTGTGATCATCATTGCTAATATTTACCGTAATGAGAATGACCTAGATTAAATTATTTTAATACCATTGGGCAGTACACATTATTTTTATTGAGTATTTGCTGTAATTTACTTAGTAATTATCAATGAAGGGAGTGTGATGGTACTAGGCTGAAGGGAGGGCTTTAGAGCCTGTTCCCTGTTTTACAGTCATCAGTGAGACACCCTCTGCTTTTCTGCATGTTTTCAATGACCCCATGACTCAATCCTCAGACCTCTTCCCTTTCCAGTTTCCATGTGATCTCATCCAGTCTCACGGCTTAAAATAATGACCACAAGCTGATTACATCTCCAGCACAGACCTCTCCCGAACTCCAGACCTGTGTGTCTAACCAACCCGCAGGCACTTCCATTTAGATACACCTCAAGTGTCTCAAAGTTAGCATGTCCGATACTGAGCCAGGGTAATTCCCCGTAAGCCATGTGCTCCTGCTGTCTTCCTCATTTTAATTTACAGCAGTTCCATTTTTCTAATTGTTCCACCCAAGAATCTTAATGCCTCTTTAGCTCCCTTTTTTCTCAGATCTGTCAGTAAATTCTGGCAGTTCTACCTTCAGAATGCCTCTAGAACCTGACTACTTTTCATCACCAACCCACCATCATCTTCCCCTGGGTTATAGGGACAGCCTGCTACCCCAGTCCCCCTGCTTCTGTCCTCAGTCCACTGCAGTCAGTTTGCTTAACAGCGGCCAGAGCCATCCTGTGAAACTTAAATTACATCAAGTGGCTTTTCAGCTAAAAGCCCTCTAGGCCCATGGTTTCCCATCTACTCAAAGTCTTGAACATGATCTATAAGGCCTTACATGATCTGAGTCACGTTGGCCCTTTTTCCTCATCTCCTCTTACTGTTCACTTGTTCTTTCCATCTTTCATCCTTGGCTGTTCCTTAAACATGCCAGGTTTCCTCCCCACCCCTGCCCTCCCTCATTTGCTTTTCCCTCTGCTCTACTCTGTTTTCTCCCCAAGATGTCCACATAGTTAGCGCCTTCCTTTTCTTCAGAGCTTTATTTTAAAGTCACCTTCCAGCGAGGCTTCCCCTGCATTCTTTCTAAAATATCAACACCCTCCTCACCTCCACCATGTCCTGTGCCCTTCCCTTCATTTTTCTTCCGAGCATCTATTACTGTCCAGCACTTGGATGTTTTACCTACTTACCTTGTCTGTTGACTGTCTCCCCCTCATGGTAGGGTCACGAGAACAGGAACTTCTGTCTTTCTTATTCACTGCTGTTTCCACAGTGTGTCTAATACTGCCTGATCCCTAGTGGAGGTTCAGTAGATATTTTATATTTATTGGAATACATAAATGAACAATAGAGCTAGGGTACAGTTTTGCATTTTGCCGGTAGATGCCACTCCCCAAGCATATTCCGCATCTGAATTATTTTGGTGCCAGTTTGGCTTGCAAAATGAAATCATTCTACATTTCTAGTTGTATAATTTGCAAGTCTTCCAATTGAAATGACATGTGTAAATGTGGATGGGCAGAGGAGCTTAAACAGCTACAGCAGTTGGGAGTTTGGGGGTAGCAGATGTAAACTATTATATATAAGTTGGATAAACAACAAGGTCCTACTGTACGGCACAGGGAACTATATTTAATATCCTGGGATAAACCATAATGGAAAAGAATATGAAAAGGAATGTATATGTATGTATAACTGAAACACTTTGCTGTACAACTGAAATGAACACAACATTGCAAATCAACTATACTTCAATAAAATAAATTAAAAAAAAAAAAAACACCCTGCAGCAGGGCCTTTGTTTAGATTGGTGCTGGGTGATGGCTGAATGAAATGTGCACCATCCCCTGAAAAGGGTGCATGCCAAGAAATTCAAACAGTGAGGAGTGAAGCTTTACTTCTATGGGAACCTATTGGAAATAAACATTAAGCTTATCATCTGTAACCTACAGCCTCAGCTGTGTTAAACTGACCATTTCTGTACCTATATTATTCGCGAATCATGTTTCCCTTCTACTTTTTTGAAGAAGAGATTTCAAGGCAGGAAAGAGGACGTTTCGTTACCTGATTGTACATATTAGTACTTTATATTAATAGAATAGTCTTTATTGTAACAACTGTTCTTTATTATTTTATTCAGGGCAACACAACTATTTATGTGCTGGAAGAAATGATTGCATAATTGATAAGATTCGACGGAAGAATTGTCCTGCCTGCAGACTTCAGAAGTGTCTTCAAGCTGGAATGAATTTAGGAGGTAAGTTTTGTAGTTTTAGTTCAGTAAGCGTTGTTAAGATGGATATAACACCACTAGGCTCTATACTCCCGAAATTGAAGATGAAGCTAACATCAAGCAAAGATTTCTAAAAATCTAGTAAGTTCTACATTTATGCTAAAACATTTCAGGAGAAAAACATTTCTTAGAAGAAGGAGTTGAAAACAAGTCTGCTCTGTGGCTGTGGTCCTAGTGAAGTTTTCAACTTTTGAGTTTGCTAAGGTTTCAAGAACTGGGTGCATAACCAAAACAAAAATGAATGATATTTTACATAAAACTATAGCTAACAGTTTTTATTACTCTGTCTGTTTAGAAATAAGACCTATAAGTGATAACATTAACCAGATAGGAATATATTCCTGACTCTAGGAGTAAATGTAATAAAGGAAGACCTATATGAAAAAAAAAAAAAAAGCAAAAAAACAAAACTTTAAAAATATTACAGGAGCTCACCAAAAGAGTGGGGCAGGTAAAGACTTGAACCAAACACAAAAGTATACAACGTCCCTGGGTGGGAAGATTCAACGTCTTGAAGGTATCAGTTTTCTCTAAGTTATTTAATGAATATAACACAAGCCCAACAGAAATACCACTTGGTGATTCTAAGTTCCTAAAGAACAGCCAGCAAAATTCTGGAAAAGATAAATAATAAGGACAGCTAGCTCTGCTACACAGTAAAGCATATGACACAGCTACAGTAGTTAAAATGGTCTGTGTATTTGTTTATTGATTGTCAGATCAACAGAAAGTCAAGAAATAGATTCAAATAATATGAGAATTTTGTATATAATAAAGTTGGCATTTCAAATCAGTGGGGAAGGGATAGGTTATTCAATAGAAATTATTGTGACAACTGCGAAGCCATCTGGAAAACAAGAAAGTTGAATCCAAACCCCTATGATCCTCCAAAATAAATTCTGCTATCACAGAAGTACTAAAGGAAAACATGGATATTTTTATATTCTGCAAGTGGAGTATTTCGTACTTTTTGAGTATTAACTAAACCCAGAAGCTATAAGAGAAAAGAATGGAGGACATCAATACTACTTACAAATCAAATATTACTGCAAAGTCAAATAATAAAAAACTGGGGGAAAATACTTGCAGCTTATAGACAAAGGGTTTATTTCTCACATAAAGTGCTTGTCTAATTCCATAAGAAAAAGAAATCAACTCATTAGAAAAATGAGAATGAAAAGAATAGGAATGTGAACAAAATATTCATAGGGAAAAGAATAATAAAATAAATACAATTGGTTCTTGAAACACATGAAAAGAGTCTCAATCTAATCCTAATAAGAGAAATGCAAATTTAAAATATAAGATATAATTTCTTGCAAATGGCAAAGATAAAACATTTTTATGATATATTGTTTGATGAGTATAGAAATAAAAGTGAAACCCAGTGTTGATCTCCTGCATTTTAGGTGGAAGTAGAAATTGATATAACCTCTATGGAGAGCAGTTCAGCTATTTCAGTAAAATGTTAAAAGGCACAAGGCCTTTGACTCACCAATTCCACTTTTAGGAATTTATCCTAAGTATATTCTGGCAATGTAAGAAATGATGTATGCATAAGATGTTCATTGTAGCCTTGTTAAATATCAGACACACATTAAATATTTATCTGTTCAGAACTGATGAAATAAATTATAGAATACTCTCAGACACTAATAAGAATAAAGGGAGCTCTATACGGACTGATTTCCAAAATATTGTTTAGTGAAAAAAATCAGGTTGCAAAATAGTATGTTTCGTATACTACAAGTTGTACATCTGCTTTCAGAAAAGAATATATATTGTATAGAGCATTTCTGGAACGATATGCAAGAAACTAGTCATGGTGGTGGTCTCAGTAGAAAGGACTGGGTAGCTGGGAGACAAGGATAGGAAGGAAAATTAATTGTCACTGTATATTCTTCTGTGCCTTTGAACTTCATATTGGATTAATGCATGTATTGTGTACACAAGTTACCTATTTAAAAGAAATAAAGTAATTCGAAAAAGAAACACAAAGAGATTTCACTCTTTGCTTTGATGAAAGCACCAACTGCCTGACTAGTCAGGACTAGGGAGGAACATGGCCGCATGCAGAACAGAGCAGCTCTTGGGAATCAAGAGGTGGATGAGCTGTGGCCACGTGGAACTGCTCCTCTGAGAGCATCCTGGGTGGCTTGAACTCAGCCAGAGCAGCCTGTGTTGGCCCAGAGGGCGGGCTCTGGAGCCACACTGCCTGGGTTGAGAACCCTTGTTCTGCCACTTCCTGAACTTGTAACCTCAGAGGCAGGTTACCACCTCTCCATGCCCCTGTTTCCTGCAGCTTGTGCCTCCCTCCTAGGCTGTGGATAAGAGTAAATGCGTCAGGGCACAGTGAACAAAAGTCAGCACCTGTCTCAGTACACGGTGGTGGTGTGGTGGGTGTTGGAAAGTCTCACTGCAGATTCCATAGCACTTTCACACATGATCTCAGGGACACCATTGCCCCACATGTCGGTGATGGTGAACCTCAGTTACCCAGAAAAGTTAAGCTGCTTGCCCTAAGATGCCACAGCCAGTGAGACGTTGAAGCTAGATCTGGATCTCTGGACCCCGGGTCTGGAGGTTCTGATGTGCCACACTGCTTCCTTGTTCTAACGTCCAAATCAGCGCAGGTGTGGCACGAAAGAGCACCTTCTGAAGCATGTGAGCGAGGATCGGGCCGGATGAATAATTTAAAATCTAAATGGCACAATGTTACAGCCGTTGGTCATAAAATGAACTCTGAATCAGTTTTGTAAAATCTACCATCTGAATTTAAACACACACACTGCTGAGGTATATTTTAAAGTATCTCTGTGCAATTTTTATATAGCTTTACAAATCTTATATATTTACATATACTATGTAAATATTACTACAAATACTGTATGATCACACTTTATAAAATGTCTTTACTATCAGTTACTATAAAATACTAATGAAGTAGCCATACTTATAGTTCCTACCTCATAGGGTTGTGTTGAGTCCATACATAACCTTCAGAACAGAGTTTCTCAACCTCTGCACTGTTGACATTTGGGGCCAGATAGGTCTTTGCTGTGGGGCCGTCCTGTGTGTTGTAGGATGTTTATCAGCATCCCTTGTCTCTACCTATTAGTCAGTAGCTGTCCCTTGTCCCCCAGTGTGACAACCAAAAATGTTTCTAGGCTTCCCTGGTGGCACAGTGGTTAAGAGTCCTCCTGCCATTGCAGGGCACACGGGTTCGAGCCCTGGGCTGGGAAGATCCCACATGCCGTGGAGCAACTAAGCCCATGTACCACAATACTGAGCCTGTGCTCTAGAGCCCATGAACCACAACTCCTGAGCCCATGTGCCACAACTACTGAAGTCCACGCACCTAGAGCCCATGCTCTGCAACAAGAGAACCCACCACAATGAGACACCCACAACCACACCAAAGAGTAGCCCCTGCTCACCACAACTAGAGAAAGCCCACGCAGCAATGAAGACCCAACACAGCCAAAAATAAATAAATTAAATTAATTTTTAAAAATTGTTTCTAAACTTTGCTAAGTGTGCCCTGGGTGGCACTGAGACCCACTGGTTTAGCAATAAGAGTAAATAATTGTAAGCACTATTTAACTGTGAGATATTTTCTGCTGGAATATTCATTCCATCAGGGGAGGAATTTTGGTCTCTTTTGTGCATTGCTTTATCTCCAGTGACTAGAACAGTGCCTGGCACAAAGTAGGTGTTCAATGGTTAGTTGTTGAGTGAATGCATGATTAATTGGCATTTTTAAGGGTTCTGTGTTCTGAGAATTCAGCTAATCCCTCTATATATGTGTCATGTCTTTTAAATATCACATAACACCATGTGATACACACTGTTAACCTATTCATTTTAAACGTGAGTTCATGGAGGCCCAGAGAGGTTAAAGAACTGGCCCAAGGCCACAGCTCCGGGTAGTGGCAGAGCCAGAACTGAGATCTCTGTTCCTGGCACCAAAGCACACCCCCAACATCACTCTTCTGTATGAAACTGGTCCACTGTTTATAGATTGACATTTTCAAAATAGGCCAGATTATCTATTAATGGCAGCTGTGGCACCAGGTTTCTTTCCTGTGTCTGTGATGGTCTGTAAGTGAGGCCTGGCACAGTAGTACATGATACAGAATCCACATACTTTGTTGCTGGTTTCTGGGTATGCAGGATAGGTTTTATGGATTTTGGTAAAACATTTTACTAGAGAAAAAGCTTACCTTGAATCTTGAGGTCGTTGAAAACTGAGTCAAAAACGGGCAGGTAGGCACACCGGTCAGAATGGCCATCATCAAAAAATCTACAAACAATAAATGCTGGAGAGGGTGTGGAGAAAAGGGAACCCTCTTGTATTGTTGGTGGGAATGTAAATTGATACAACCACTATGGAGAACAGTATGGAGGTTCCTTAAAAAACTACAAATAGAACTACCATACAACCCAGCAATCCCACTACTAGGCATCTACCCTGAGAAAACCATAATTCAAAAAGAAGCATGTACCAAAATGTTCATTGCAGCTCTATTTACAATAGCCCGGAGATGGAAACAACCTAAGTGTCCATCATCGGATGAATGGTTAAAGAAGACATGTCACATATATACAATGGAATATACCTCAGCCATAAAAAGAAACGAAATTGAGTTATTTGTAGTGAGGTGGATGGACCTAGAATCTGTCATACAGAGTGAAGTAAGCCAGAAAGAGAAAAACAAATACCGTATGCTAACACATATATATGGAATCCAGGGGAAAAAAAATGGTCACGAAGAACCTAGGGGCAGGACAGGAATAAACATGCAGACCTACTAGAGAATGGACTTGAGGACACAGGGAGAGGGAAGGGTAAGCTGTGACAAAGTGAGAGAGTGGCATGGACATATATACACTACCAAATGTAAAATAGATAGCTAGTGGGAAGCAGCCGCATAGCACAGGGAGATCAGCTCTGTGGTCTGTGA